TAGACCTGGATGCCATTGATTTTTTTGGGTAATGTTAATAATAGTAAGCAATAGTGCAGACCAAATAACTATAGTGTAAATTCAAAATGAATTTTATTGTCTCTTAAGATTGCTACTCACTTTTTTGAGGATTTTCTGTGCCTTTATTTAAATTTTTAGTGCATCTTTTATCTTATCTAAACTAAACCTAATAACTTGAATAGCATTTTGTCAGCAGTTCCATTGAGTGTCTGAAAGTGGTTATAATGTGAAATCTGTTATGTGTTTCATCAAACATTCTATCTTTGAACAACAGCTCCATACACTGTCGTATATAATCTTTTTTTTGTTTCAAAAAAGGTGACCTCATTAGAGGCACAGTAGTCACCCATGTTCCCTAGTAACAAATTTAAGCTGTGTGCATAATGGGACACAAAAATGCTCCTGGATTTCTGGTTAAAGTTGCATTCTCATAGGCTTGCCCTCTCTCCTCACCTACGTGCCTCTACAGCTCAAGCTTCCACACTTTCCAAGCAGGACACATCCCTGGTATCATTGGCAGCACGATGCACAAACTTTCATTACATTTGGAGGTCACTGCATTCAAGGACGTGGGCAAGAAATAAGGGAGAAGGTTCTATGGGGTCCTGAACAGCATTGGTCACAGGGTAGATGTTTAGGATTATAGGCTGTACTGGGCCCACACTGAGCATCGGATTTCGGGTGACGCAGATGCATAATGCTACTTAATAAATGCATTGTTTTGTAGGACTGTGACGTTCAGGGCCTGGTAAAGTGTAGGGCTAGGGGCAGGAGCATGTTTAATCTGATCTAAGGTGGTCAGGGCCTTTTCTTGGCCAATATTTGATGTTGGAAGATTCTTTCTCGTCAGTATCTTGGTGCCTGCAGCTCCTTGCGTTCAGATGCTCATTTTTTTTTTTTCAAGTTGAGGCAGAAATGGAACCTCTTCCATGAAGTCCTCCCTGATATTGCCCTTACTCTATCTTACCCCAGCTGGAAGAATGCTCTCATTCCTCTGAGAAACGCTTTGTGTGACCGTCTCTTGGGATCCCTTAGGATAGAGGTGCTGCAAGCATACTGTTATATGCTTAGGGGTTAAGACATTGGACCTGGATCCAGACTTACTGGACTTTGAATTCTAGCTCCTTTACCCTTTTTGAGATCTGTGCCTCAGTATCTGTATCTGTAAAATGGGGGTAAAGAACAGTACCCACTTCCTACAAGTTGTGACATTTAAGTGAACAAAGAGTTTATAGCACTTTTTCTGATGCCTGCCATGAGGAAGCCCAATAATTGCTAGGGGTCATTAGAATCACCATATTCTCTCCTTCACATTTTTATTCACTATATGCATTTATTTTTATCCCTCCTACAACTCCAGGAGTTCCTTTAGGTCTGTGGCTATGATCAATTTTTAATCTTTAATATAGAGTCTTGCAGATAGTGAGTATTCAAGATGTGTTTCTCAAAGCAACAGTATCCCAGCCTTCAAACAAGTTCAGGGCCCCCAGAGACAGAGGCTTTTTCAGATCTAGCCTTTCTCTTCTCCAGTGTTATGGACTGAATTGTGTCTCCCCTGCCCCCACTCCCCAGAATTCATATGTTAAAATCCTAACCCTCAGTACCTCCGAACGGGGCTGTATTTGGAAATAGAGCCTTTAACAAGGTACATTAGGTAAAATGAGGTCATATGAATGTGTCCGAATGCCTGGTGTTCTACTACAAGAGGAAATGAGGACCCAGACGCAGCCAGAGGGAAGACCATGTGAAGACACAAGGAGAAGCCAGCGTCTAAAAGCCAAGGAGGGATGCTCAGAAGAAACCAACCCTCATGTCACTGTGGTCGTGGATTTCTAGCTTCCAGAACTGTGAGAAAATAAATTTCTGTTGTTTAGACCATGTAGTCTGTTTGCAGTCTGCAGTATTTTACAATGGCAGCCCTGGCAAATGAATATGCTCTGCTACCCTATTCTCTCCCATTGTGAAAATGCTTCCCCCTTCCATCTGAAACCCTTCAATCCTTGCCAGGTCCCTGCTTCCCTGATTGTGCCCAGGTGTTATGACTGCCTTTGAGGCAGTGGCCCTTCTCCCTTGGGAGTTTTGTTGTTGTTGTTTGTATACATCTAACGTGGATTTCTATATTCTCAGTCCAGTATTTTTCAAAGCATGTTCCATGAGAGGATCAGTAGTGCTGCAGAGAAAGGGGTTTCCGAAGTCATGGCCACTAGGTGATGGGGTGCCATTCCAGGCTGGTTAGTGCTGCAGGACTCAGAGCACTGCAGATCTTCAAGAAGGGAAGGAGCAGGGAGGCATTCCCCAAATCCATGTGACCACGGAACCCTCTTTTCACTGAGCATCTCTCAGGGCTAATACCAACTGCACCCCAACTACAGCAGCTCAAATATACAACCCGTAATGATGAGACTCCTTGGAGGTGGTGACACATGGCTGAAAAAGATTTCAAGTCTATGAAGTAGTCAGGCCCCTCAAAGTACCCCACTGGGACATTACCAACGATCAGGGTAGTAGAGCTGGAAGGGACCTCAGATTATTTTTTCCCACTTGAAGAAGAGGGAACCAAGGCCCTGAGAGATGATAGAGCTGGCTGCCCAAGGCCACAGCCAAGGGGAGTCACTAATGCCCTAGGACTCATCTTTGTGGATGGTCATTGGGAAGCGTGCTGCTGCATAAAATGTGAGACTCCAAGCACTGGTGTTTGTTTTAAATACAACCTTCTCGTGTTCTTCTGGTGTCATCCTTTCTGATGAGGGTGAGAGGTACCTTCAGCCTGGAAACTTCCCTGCCGCCATGCTGGGCCTTCTCCTGATACCAGACTCTGCTCCATCTTACTCACCCAAAGCCCTGAAAAGTCCAGTGGCCCTAAGTCTAGTTTCGGGGTCTGGCCTGGCGGATCAGTTTGTTACAGTGTGCGAACAACAGCTCAGGCTTTGAAACTGGGTTCAAATCAGAATCATCGCTTACTGTGTGAAAATAAATACACCGCAGAGCCTCTCTCTCGAAGGTGGGAAATAACATATAAAGTGATTGCAGCTGATTCAATGGAAGGGAGGAATGGGATTTAGCCTGGGGCCTGTGCACATCAGACCTCATTAAATACTGGTTCCCAGCCTCCCTCCGAGACTAGGGATCACTCAGAACTACTGCCTGAATCTCATCCGGTGTCAATCAATTAGTAAAGGTAATGCCCCAGCAAGAAAGCACAACAAGCCATTAGTTTAGGATGCACCGACCTGCTCTACCCTATCTCCTTCCATTCCCCTTAGGATGTTTCCTTAGTCATCAGTGCTCACACGGCCTTCCACAGATCAACGAGCCTTGGGGGAGGACCAGGAATCACCGCCAAGATGCTGGTTTGGAAGCAGTTTTAATGGAGATGGAAATGTTTATCAACTCAACACTGGTACCCCAAAGTACAAAGCAAAGTATCATTTTCAGCTGCATAGCAAATATGATTTAAGAATTTAACATCATTATTTGATCACAAGCGTAAATATAAGTCACCATAAATAAATGTAAATTCATTGTACAAAAATCCCCAACAACTCTTAATACAAATATGGTACATTTGACAGTTTCTGAAACAGAATTTTTTTTTAAACTTTTTTAAAACCTAAGATTTTTTTTTCCTGGTTCTTAGACACACACAAAATCAAATCAAAAGGAGGCAGACTACCAGGGAGAAAAGGGTATTAAACCTGTTGGTATTCATAAATAAATGTGCCAGCGAGCGAGGGAGATGCAACGTCTCTCCCTAAGCTGAAGACCTCAACTTACCAGGGTCAAATCTCTCTAAGATAAAAGGATTCTACCCAGGGGGTCAAAGTCAGGGTTACAGAGGCAGGACCGAGGGGCAGCTTGCTGAAACAGCAATCCCATCAAATGGATGATCCAAATCTCCATAAAAGCAATGGGCAAGAATCTGGAATAAACTCTGGGACTTAATAGCTGGTCACCTATCTAAAAGACCCACTGTCCTCAGACAGGACGAAGATTCAGAAGACCCTGGAGCTTAGAGATTTTACGTGGGTTTGGAAGGCGTGTTCTACCATGTGGTGTAGCCTCTCCCTTCTGCCTTTGAGACACATCTATGGTCATCAAGAGGAATAAACAACAACAACAAAAAGTCAGAATAGGAAGTGGCATCTCCAGACAGGATCCGCCAGCTTCCACCCTGAATGGTTTTCCTACCCTACAAATATTTTCTTTCATGGCTCAGAGGGAGCTCAGAGCCCAGGTTAGCGATGGAGAGACCCTCTCAGTGGTCCTCAGATTTCCATGTGCAACGGAACAGCCCGGAGAGCTTGTGGAAGGTACAGATTTCCCTACCTGACTCCCAGAGATGCAGACTTAACTGGTTTGGGGGAGGGCCCAGAAATCGGCACCAAATGTGGCTAACCTCAGGACGTCCTGATGGAGGCCTCTGGGCCACGCTTGGTGAGCCCCACCTCTCTCCTCCCTGGTGAGCAGAGTGTATCACACAAACCTCTTGCTATGGATTGTTTTTTCTCTTTCCATTGGGTTAAAATGGGCCATCTGATTAATGGTAACCATTTCCATTCATCCGCCCTGAGGGAGTGGATCATTGTTGTTGTTTCTATTTTCTCTCTTTTCTTTTCTTCCCTGGATTAGGGGAGAGATATCAAATGTGTCACTTTACATTTTCTTACAAGCTCAGGGTCACAGGCTCCCTTTGAAGAAGAGTTGCTCTGTAATAAGACATTCATTCCCAAAGGCTTCCTTCCATCCTTCTAAACAGTCTCCCCACGCTCCGTGGGAGATTCTGCAAAGACTTTTGGTTCAGTTGGAGAAATGCAAGTAGACAGGCCCCTGCGAGATATGCTCCATGCCTCAAAATTTAGGTTAAGGAACACTGAGGATGTTGAGAGCAAAAGATAAATTTCCTAAGAATCTTTCAGCTTCTACGACAACGAAAGTCCCGATTCACTAAAACAGGACTCCTTTTCTGGGAGTGTATCCACGTATTAAAAACTCATTGACAAGTGCTATTTATATTCCTCACCCCCCTGACCCCAATATGTTTTGGGCTTCTGTTGAAATAACCCCTTAACATTATCTTTCTCGTGGGAGTTTTCCTTGATGAGAGAGTCTGTGCAGAGAGGTGGTCCCTAATTTGGCCACCGGCTACTGGTGTGGGCAGTATGTGCCTGACTTGTTCAGTGCTGTGTTCCCACTGTCCTCAGCCCTGTGCACCTTGCTGCTCACAGTATTTGCTGAACGAATAAAGGAACCACCTCATCATCAAGCTGAGGGTGTTTGGGACTATGGAATTCCTGGCTATGTCAATAAATGCTGCTTCCGCACAGCAGGCCTGACCATCTTTCTACCCGAATTCTAGTCAGTGAGACATGGTTGTGAATGCATTTCTGATTTCTCTCTAGGAGTGCCCTGAGAGGGGAGCGTGGTTTTGGGGAGTCCAGGGAAGGCCAGAGCCAACACCATCTATCACGGGGCCAGTACCAGGAACCTTGTCTTCTGTTTCCCCTGGCTCTTAGCGTCTGGTCCACAAGCACTGTTGGTGGTAGAATCCCCCGCATCCAGAGTAGGAGGAGGTGTTGCCTGGGAAAATGGGGGGTAGGGAGCCAGAGGAGGTGAAGAAGCCAGGAAGTGGAAACACGCTTGTCAGGTTGGGCTGTTATCTCAGGATACGCCCATGCTCTTGTCTCTTTCTCTGAGACTTCACTCCTGAGGTGGCACATGGGCACTGGGTAGGAGGTCATCATCTGGGAGGAGGTCTTGAGAGGCAACCATGGATGTGGGGTGGGGCTGTGAGGTGGAGAAGGGGTGAAACTAGGGCTCTTAGCACGGCTGAGGGGAAAAAAGAAAAGAAAAAGCACATACTGCCCTGTTTCATTTTTTTTTTTTCATTGATGCTATGGAAAAACCACCATGGAGATGTCATGGGACAGCATGCACAGGCCCAGCCCTTGGGAGGTGTAGATGTGTTTGGGGAGGTTCTTGTTTGCTTCCAGGCTTATCCCATATGCTGTCCAGTCGGGACCCTGTTGCAGGCTGGCCATGGCTTTCTCTCTCCTGCTTCTTCTTCTCGTCCAGGTCAAGGGTCTGCAGGCCCTTCCACCTAGCAGGTGGTGGCCAGGGACTGGTGGATGGGTGGCTGGAAGCAACGCACATGCTCTACAGTGGAACTGTCCGTCTCCACGGACTTCATGTACTTGTTCAGGATGGCAAAAACCTCATTGTTCAAGATCTGGTACTTCCGAATTCTGTCTGCCATCTTCTTCAGGGGCTGTGGAAGGACAGGGATGTGCAGGTTAGGGGCAGGAGGAGGGGACAGAGAAATAAAAAGCAAGAGCAAGAAAATGCAGTGAGGTTGGGGCCCAGGGTCCCGAGGCATCAATGATGTCACTCTCTTGCTTACAGGCCTTCTATGGGTTTCCAGAGCTTAGCAATCAAATGTTAACTTGGCCATAAAACCCTTTGTGAGTTTCAAAATTTACTACCAGGCTACAATAATCAAAACAGTATGGCAATGGCATGAAGACAAGCCTATATAGATCACTGGAATAGACAGCCCAGAAATAAACTCTTCCACATGTGGTCAAGTGATTTTTAACAAGGGTGCCCAAACCATTCAATGGAGAAAGGATGGTGTTCTCAACAAATGGTGCTGGGATGCCAGGAATGGCTCGCAATCCCTGTACAAAGGATGATCGATGACTCCAAACGTTATTGTGAAAGAGAGGAGAAGGCAAGGGGTCAACGCTCAGAGACGAACACCCTTTGCCCTTCTTTGCTCCCGCTTTTTTTGGTCCTTCAGGATAATCATAAATCCTTAGCATCGTCTCTCAAGCACATGATGTGTGACAAGGGGTCTTACTGGAACTAGGAGGATCTGTTTACAGGAAAGATACGATATGCTAATCTGTGTGTTCTACGAGTTCTGCTAAACATAGCCTAGGGGACAATGCATACGTCTCTTAGATCACAGGGCGGCTGTTTGTGCTGAGAAAGCTTGGGGGAAGGCAACTCCCCGGGGCATTCCTACGGCAGAGTGGTCACGAGGGCCTCGGCATTCTGAAGGCCTGCACCCTTCTCCAAAACCTTCCATCGCCCCCAGCAGCCTCTGTGTTACATTTTAGCAAGCCAGGTATTCTGGATGATTTCATGCTCTACATTAACCCCAACCCTGGGAAAACTTGATATCCACATGCAAAAAGAATGAAGCTGAATCCTTACCTTATATAATATACAAAAAAAAACAACACAAAAAAACCCAGAACAACAACAAAAACAAAAACAAACTTTAAAATGGTTTAAAGACCTAACCATAGGATCTAAAACTATAAAACTCTTAGAAGAACACAGAGGAAAATCTTCATGACATTGAATTTGGCAATGATTTCTTAGATGTGGCACCAAAAGCACAAGTAATAAAAGACCACATCAAAATTAAAGACTTGTCTGCATCAAAGGACACTATCGACAGTGAAAAGGCAACCCACAGGATGGGAGAAAATATCTGCAACTCGAATACCAGATAAGGGATTAATATCCAGAATATATAAAGAACTTCTACACCTCAACAACAACAAAACAATCCAATTACAAAGTGAACAAAGGACTTGAATAGACATGTCTCCAAAGAAGATAGACAAATAGCCAAAAAGCACATGAAAAGATGCTCAACATTACTAATCATTAGTGAAATGGGACTCAAAACCAGAATGAGATAGCACTTCACATCCATTATGGTGGCTATTACCAAAAACCCCAGAGAACAAATGCTAGGAAGCCTGTGGAAAAACTGGAACTCTTGCACACTGCTGGCAGGAATGTAAAATGAAAAGAGAATGGCAGTTCCTCAAACATTAAAAATAGAATTAGCACATGATCCAGCAATTCCACTTGTAGGTAGCTACTCAAAAGAAATGAAAGCAGGGACCTGAACAAACATCTGTACACGCATGATCCCAGCAGCATATTCACAGTAGCCAAAAAGTGGAAGCAACTCAAGTGTTCACTGAAGGAAGAATGGGTAAATAGAATGCGGTATATACATACCATGGAACATTATTCAGCCTTAAAAAGGAAGACAATTCTGATACAAGCTACCACATGGTGGCCTTGAACACATTATGCTAAGTGAAATAAGCCAGTCATGAGAGAATAAATACTGTAGGACTCCTCTTCTATGAGGTGCTAGTCAAATCCTAGAGACAGAAAGTGTAAGGGTGGTTACCAGAGGCTTGGGGGAGGGGAGATGGGCAGTGCTTTCCCTCTGGGAAGCTGAGAACGTTCTGGAGATGGATGGTGGTGATGGCAGCATGACAGTGGGAGTGTACCTAATGCCACCACACCGTACACTTAACGATGGTTAAAATGGCAACTTTTACGTTTATGTATATTCTACCACAACAGCAAAACAAACAAACAAAAAACCCTTTATGAGGTAGCTCCTGCTTCCCCCTCCTTTCAGCTGGCCCTGGAGACCCACTCTGTGTCGTAGCCACACACCTTCAGGTCTCTGGGCCTTTGCGACAGCGACAGCTGTTCCTTCTGTCCGGAACATCCTCCCTACCCTGCATCCCATTTTTCGCCTGGTTATTGGCTGGTGGTCATTCTGGACTCGGCCCAAGCGCTGCCTCCACCGGAAGCCTTCTCTGGCCACCCCTCCCCGCCGTCCCCCCCGCCCAATTTCGATAGCCCCTCTCAGGGCCCCCACAGCAGCCCCACTTACGCCACGACCAGCCTCCTCCCATCCCTGCGCCTGCACGACTCCCAGGCTCGGTGAGAGTGTGTGGGCGCGAGGCGCCAGCTTCGGCGGTCTGACCGGCTCGGGGAAGGGCTAATTCAGGTCTGGAGCTCGGCCCAGCCCTGCAGGGTGACCTGATTCATCCCAGCAGGTTGTGAGCAAGTGACTCACGGCTTCCGATGAGAAGGTCCCCGGCCGCGGAGCATCTTTGTACCTACCCGTGCAGGAACTTGGCCTCTGTAAGCAGCTCGCCCTCCCTTTCAGATGAAAGCCGGGCTTGTCAGGCCTGGCCCCACTTCCCAGGCCCCAGCCCGTGGCTGCTTACCACATTCTTAATGACCTCATCCTTCCCGTCCTGCCTCTGGACTTTCAGCAGGTGATAACAGAAGTCAAACAGGTCGAAGCGACGCTGCTGGCCCAGCAGGACGATGATGGAGCAGCCAGCCCAGTTCAGACCATCACCAAAACACTGCCTGGGGGTGGGGAGAGGAAGCAGCTGAAGTGAGGGGCAGGGGAGGGTGCGGGGAAGGGCCCTCATCTTGGGCCCGGAGTACAGAGAGTGAGCAAGCCAGTCCCTGGGTCATCCTCTTAACCTGTAACGTGGGTGCAAGGGAAGAGGTGAGCGTACATTCATTTGTTCCAGGGACTGTGGCCTAAGTCCCTCTAGCCACAAAGAGGTGTCAGCCTGTCAGCCACTGAGGTAAGAGAAAGAAGATAAATTTGCAGGGAAAAAATTCAACCAGTCCTTGAGACTTCTGTGGCTGATGAGAATTCGGATGAGACTGGTCTCCGCAAGGAGCCGGCAAATGCTTGTGAAGGGAAGGACCATTTTAAACCAGAAGACCAGGTGGCGGCTGTAGGCCCAGAGGGCGGGGACGGGCGGGGACAAGCGGGGACAGGGCGTGGTGTGCGGAGGGGCCTCTGCGGCAGGCGAGTGGGGGCTGGCACGCGCGGGGGCTGTCGGGGCTGTGGGTCTGGCGAAGCTCAGCCGCAAGCCGCCAGCACCCAGCAGCATCCTGGGCACGTCCAGAGGCTGTGGGGTCATCTCTCTGCTGTTTTTCTTATCCTCAAGCAGCAGCTGAAGCCCAGTGGGCAAGCTTCCCCGCTTCCTCATCACTCCGGCTAGAGGTGCAGGCCCAGCAGCTGCTCTGAAAACAGCTTGCGGAGCCCAGCTCAGTCCCAACACCACTTCCTCAGGAAAGCCTTCTCTGGCCTTGTTCTAGAGAGCCCTCGGCTCCTGCAGGGCAGACCCTGTCTGCCTTCTTCACTACTCTGGTCTCAGTGTGTAGCTGGGCGAGGGAAGGAAGAACTGGAATCTGCTTCTGTCTTCTCTGACGACAGGACTGGGTTCCTCTCGGAGGCTTCCTGGTTTTCAGGAGTAGAGGCCTCACGAGCCAGGCTCACGTGTGCAAGTTAGGGCATGACCCTCTACTGAGGAGGCCTCTCCCTGTTCTACGAACCCTGCAGTTTTGTGAGGGGTGAGGTGGAGGCTGGGGTTCTCAATGCCAAAACCTCCCCAGGGCTCCCTCCTGCCCACGCAATCGGAGCAGCTTCTGGTCTTGGAAAGACCAGGCCCTGAGGGGTCCTAAGTCCCAATGCACACACTCCCTCTCTGCCTCCACCCACTCGTTGCCTTTCCTGGAATGTGCACCCCGCCCCTCTAAGAGCTGAATCCTAGGCAACGTGCAAGGCTCAGTTCTACTGTGTGATTTACACTCCAGTAACCCACTCAGCTCACTTCTCAGGCACCTGTCACCCTTCCCGCCTTTGCTGTATGAGGCCAGAAACCATCTACTTCTGCTCAGCATTGGTGTCTGTCCAGTACCTTGCACATCATAGGTATTCCAGAAAGAGCTGTTGGACAGCCCACCCCTGCCCTCTTTCTAGTTGAGCCCTGGTAGCCTGCAGACTCTTGTTGGGGGGAGACATGCAAGTGGGGCGGCGACCCAGCCTTCCCTGGGGCTACTCACTCAGCTGTGAACTCGTTGGTCCCCACGGGGATGCAGTAGACGAACTGCATGGCACTCCAGAGCCGGTGGAACTCCACGCACTCGTCAACATGCATGACGCCATTGGTGGGTGGTGGGCCCCGCCAGATGGGGTCCTGCAGGTAGCTCCGAATGCGTGTCAGGATGACCTCAAACATGGACAGGCCACAGCACAACCGCTCCTTGGTCAGCAGGTCGCCCTCCCGAGCGATAGCGATTTGCTGGGAACACAAACGTGCATAAACCTTCTATCCTCACCTCGGACCCCATCTTCCCCCTCTCACCAGAGATTCCCATGCCCTGGAGCCAGCTGTATCTGGAATTCACTCACCAGAGTGGATGTCTTGCCCAGAGCTGGGCACTACCTTTGTAAGCCCTAGTGAAACAGCAGGGGTCTTGTGGTAAGACTTACTTGTGGCAAGTAAAATCTAGGCGCTGTCAAGGATGAAGAGTCAAACTAAGAAAAATCCCAGTCTATCACATAATGAAATGCTATATATCCACTGAGAAGACTGAGATGATACTACTAGTTTACACTCAGTGAGTGGGTGTATAATACATCAGGCTGTGATCTAAGCTCTTTATTCCTCACATCGACCCCATGAAATAGGTGCCATTGTTATCCCCATTTTACAGATAAAGAAACTGAGGTTCAGAGAGGCAGCCACTGATTGGCAAAAGCTGGAATTTGAATCCTGATAGTCTAGATGTACGGGTTAAATTGTTAAGTGAATATAGAGCAAGTTTCAGAAAAGGATGTATACTACAGACCTATTAAAAACATCAACAACATGCAATCCCACAGACAAACAAATAAAACCATATAGTTTAGAAGGAAACATCAACTGTGGGAGCAGATGGGCTTGGATAAACAGGCAGGATTTTCACTTTTTACTTTAAATACTTCTGTACAGTTGAATGTTCTGCAATAAAAATATGTTACTCTTAAAATTTGCCACTGATTTTACAGGATCATTTCCTCCCATTAGAAGTCCTCTAACCATTGTAAACTGTCTCTATTAATAATTTAAACTGGCTTCGTATCTGGGTCCTGGTTATTGGATCTCTAATAATCAGCTGGCTAGACAAGCACATCAAAACACATTACTGTCTGCATTATGAGTAAAAATGTCTAGGGGTAGAGGTCTCAAAACCATCTGCAAAGAGTAGATAGATATCAAAATCTGAGGTCAAAGGAAGGTCTCCAAATCTAGGGACAAAGCTAGAGAAGGCTGGCCTCTGAGACAGAGAGGTCCACAGGGAGCTCGTGAGGTCAGCTCTCCAGGGGGAAGTCTCCCCAGAGAGCTCATGTTACAAGTGCCTGGAAGGAGCCTACCTGACTTCTCCCTGTAAGCTCTCACCCTGGAGCCCCTAGAAGGAGGGCAACCTCTAAATTAATCCACAGAGGGAAATAAATCAGGAAACACAACGCTGGAGCCTGTTAGGAAAATGGGCCAGGAGCTTAGTTGTCATGACAACTATAAACTGAGAGAAGTCTAGGACAAAAAATGTGAATTGGGGAAGATGAATGTGACAACATGTGTTTTAAGCATGAAGGAGAGGGAACCCTGATTCACAGTGACTCATCTTGATTTCGTAGGCAGAGGAAGCTCCTGAGAAGAGACAAGACCATTCAGGTTGCCACAGTTGGCTAGATATAGGTCTTTAAAAAAATCCTGAACCTAGTGCTTGATTCTGTTCTTACCAGGCAACACTCTATGCTGGTACTTGGACCTTGAAAGACCTCTCCACTCAGAGAGTGCCTGGTACAAGGAAGATGGTCAGTAAATACATAAAGGACCCATATTTGTTCTCATCTCATGAATATTCTTCTTCGTAAATTAACACAGAGACTTCTGGTTTACTAATTAATCTTGTGTGCGTCTAGTTAGTCTGAATCAATCCCCAGGGCCTGACAATCATGGTGGAGAACTAAAAATTAGCAATGGGGTTTATAAATCTGCAGACAGACTTGGAAATCTGGTGACCTCCCCACTAGAGCCAACCAAAGGGCCCTGATGGAAAAGGTTCAGGGGTTTTGCCCTTCCTCAGAAAAGCGTTCACCCTTCAGTTTCTTCTGGGAACTGTAAAAATAACAGTCACTTGGGTAAATATGGAAAAATTTTCAAAAAGTGGTAAGAAAATAAAAATCTCCCATAAACCCCATTACCTAGAAATGAGGTTTCTTAAAATACTGATCTACGATTGGTGTTAATGTATTTGAGTGTGTGTATACATCTATAGCTAACAGAATTTGGATCAGAATATCTTGCTTTTTTCTCTTCAGATAGCAGCAATTTACAAAATAATTTCCTTGAATATTTTCAGTAACATAATTTTTTAACGGCCACAGAAAATGGCCACTGATAGATCACCATTTATTGAATCTTCTATGCTTAGTGGTTATTTTGAAGTGTTTACAAATTTTCATTATTACAGACAATTCTTAAGCAACCGTCCTCATACGCAACACTTTTTAAGCTTCTCTTTGATTATTTGCTTAGGATAAAATCCTAAAAGTAGGACTCCGCAGTTGTAGTGGATACATATTTTAAAAGGCTTTTGCAACATAGTAGCAAACTAGTCTGAAGGAAAGCTGAACCACTCTACACCTTCCCCTTCTTATATCTTCACCAGCTCTCTCTTAGTAAGAAAAGTTCTCTGCCAACTTGGATGAAAAGTTGTACCCCTTCTTTTAATTTCCATTTCAGTGATTACTGATAAGGCTGAACACTTTTGCTGGTTTTTGTTGGCATTTAAACCTTTTAGGGTATGAGATTTCTTCCATGTCCTTTTTCCTTTGGGTAGGTCTGTCCTTTCCTTCTGGCTCTGAAAAAGTGCATTGAACTATTTGCAGCAAAGGCCCCCACTTTGTGACTTGGTGTTATATACATATATATTGTATGTGTTTCACATAAATTTCATCCATTTCTTTTCTGTTCTACTCAGTGGGGGATTTTTCTCTCTTTCTGCCATTCTTTTCTGAGTTAACAAGGGAACAGAAAAAGCATCTGTGAAAATAAATCCTAGTAAAAATAAATATAAATGTGGAAATAAATTTCTGTATGGAATACTGTGATTATATTTAGTACCTTCTGGAGGAGAATGATATCTCAATAAACCTTCATAGTTTTTGGAAGTCTTTTACTCATTTTTGTTCATCATAATATTCATGAAAGGCAGTTCAATGAAGGCAGCAAAGTAGCTATTTGCCCATTTCACAGGTGGGGAGACAAAGACTGAGATATTAAGTATCTAGCACCAGATTGTGCATCAGTTCAAGTGTGAAGCTGGGACGAAGACCCTTGTCTTCTGACCTCCTGCCAGAGTGTGCCTTCCATGATAGCACCTTAGTATGTCCCAGAAATAAATGCAAACAGAGCAATATCATTAAAACCTCTTGACTTTAAATATGTGGCAGAATCTTCCCGTCACGGACTGAGATATTATGTGAGTCCCCTGCACCCCAGCTAGCTTGGAAGGGAATATTTCCTTAACTTTTCTTTGGTCTATGGGACGACTAAGTTTTGGACTATCCCTTGAGGGCAGGGTGAGTAGAAAACTGGCACTTCCTCTCCAGCAGAACGTCTAGGCTTTTGTTTGTTAAAGACTCGGGCATTTGATAAATTGAGATTTCTATTAGTCCCAGGGAAATCGTGTTCACCAGAACAGGGAAGGAATTCACAGTCTCCTAAGTGGAAACACATGCCAAACCCTGGGTGCGAGAGGCCAGATTCTTGTAGGATGACACCAACAGTGGAGCAGACACATTTCTATGTCGCTGGCTTGGGGGATTTCTCCCTAAAAGGAAATCTTTTGAGGACTCCTCTGTTCAGCCTCCGAAGGCCAAAAAAGAAAATGTGTGCACTCCGCAGGGTCTGAATTCTCCCTGTGGTGACTCAAAGAACCCAAATGCCACTGAACATTTAGTCACTGTTTCCAGGAGGAGGTGGGTGGCACGCAGGTGGTCTGGCGAGAGTTGCTCATTGGCGGGACACCTGAGCGGATTGGGTCCTGCAGTGTGCTCCAAATACTTGCCCTGATTTCTGAGAGAAGAGGCTGCCTTCTGCCCTCTGCTGAGGATGTGAGTCCTTCAGACGCCTCAGCTTTTGTGATGAGAGCAGAGAGGACCCCTGCAATGCAAGTCCAGCGCAGATTTGAATCCTAAACCTCTTACGCAGTTGGCAAAGGCGAATGAGACAGACCACCCTGGCTTGTCTCGCCAGGGTGCCCCATTTCTCTTCCTCCGGAATTCCTCCCCTGGCCTCCCTAAAATGCGCAGATTACTCAAATCAGTGTGAAAGGAGACAACACATGCTTTTGGCCGCCTCCCTCCTCTTTTCTCTTTTTTCCTGACTCCTACCCCAGTCTGTGAGTCCTCTGAGGCAGGGGTCCTGCCCCACTCATCTCCTTGTTCATAGCAACTGGTACTGGTTTGTAAAAATTAATTTTATTTTCCAAGATTTTATTTTTAAGTAATCGCTACACCCAAGGTGGGGCTCAAACTCATGACCCCGAGATCAAGAGTCACATGCTCTACTGACTCAGCCAGCTAGGAGCCCCTGTAAAACTTAATTTTAATTACAGAATTAACATATTAGCTTATTCACTTTTGAAAATATTGGAACATTACAGAGAAAGCTGAAGTCTCCTGACCCAGGAGATCATCACCCCATCTCTGTCTCTCTCGTCTCTCTTCAGAGGGTGCCGCCATTAGGAACTGTGAGTATTATCATGTTTTAGGAACAGTTTCACTGATAGGGTTTTGTTGTATGCTTTCTTCCCCTAACTGGGCGCTTATGATCTGTCCACATTGATGCACCTAGACCTCATCTTTCCTTTTCGTTAATATGTAGCAAGTAGTCGACATTTAGGTAACTTTACCGTGTTGTATTTAGTCAACCCTCTACTGGTTGTTTCTAGTTTTTGCTTTAACAAACAATGCTACAGTAAACGTCTGTGTTCCTGTAGGTGTTTTTCTAGCAAAGATATCTAGAAGTGAATTGCTGGTTCTCAGGGTGTGTGGAGTTTTAATTCTGAGAGATGACTTAGCAGAATTCCTGATACCTAACAGGAGCATAATAGATACTTCTTTCTTGGCACAAGAGCGAATACAGGGTGTAGAAGAAAGAACTCAGGCCTGGGAAACAGCAAATCTCCTTCCAGACCTGACCCTGCCACTAATAGGCTTTGTAGACATTCTTCCCCACCCTCTCTCTGGGCCTGTTTCCCTGCCTGTAAAATGAGGGGGTTGGACCAAAGGCTCTCCCTCTAAAGTTCCTTCTGGTTCTCAGAGTCTGGATAGAAGGATCTCATACCTGAGGGGTCCCCAGCCGCTCTATCAGAGGGACCAGGTGGAGCGGAGCATACTTGGCTTCCAGACGTTTCATGCGGACCTCCAGACGCTCCCCTTCTGAAAAAGGAGAAACAGAGCAGAAAATGAGACTCAGGGTACCCTGGGGGAACTGAGGAAGGGAAAACTCTCAGAGGACCGGTGACATATCTGTGTTCCCAAACTTAGATGGATTCTGTAGAACTGTTCTCCTTCATTCTAAAGTGTGATCAGAACTCACTACAAGGTAAAATGTTCTAGTATCTCTGTCCAGTGACAGTATTATCCACCTCATGGAGTGGGGAGTTCCCCATCATTCAAAAGAGTTAAACCAAGGCTAGACAGGAATGCACTAGGGATGATCTAGAAGGACCAAGGAACAAGGCCTAGAGTGTCACTTCCAATTCTGCCATTCTGTGAATATTGAAGAACTGCCCAAAGCTTTATATAACCTTCTCCTTTTCTGACTGCAGATCTGAGTTTATTGTGATTAAGTGAGCATGGAGTTCAAATGCAAGTTGGCTGTTTAGCTGCTGCTAGTGGTTCTTACCTTTGATGTAGACTCTGGGCAGGATGTTTTGGAAGGGTGCAGCATGGAGCAAATCACAGACTTCCTCCTGAGACTGCAAACAGAGATGGAAAGAAAGAAAGGGAAAACAAGTCTCATTTTAAACTACAAAGAATTTTCATTCCTCAAACCTTGAGCACCGCAGTCAGCTGGGGAGGGTTTCAATGTTGGCTCCTCCTCTTACTACCCACGGCATCTCAGGCAAGTCGCTTAATCTCTTTGAGCCTATTTATTTATCTGCAAAATGAGGACCAGAATAGTACTTATTTAATGAGTTTTTGTAAGGATTGAGTGAGAGAATGCATAGCCTTATAGCAGTCTGTGGCACATAATGAGTGTGCAGTACATTTTCATTATCTTATGAGGAATTTGTTGAAGATTTCAAATGAGTGACAGAGGACTCAAATAGAGATGATGCGCCCCAGGCTCTGTTTGTCTGGTTGGTTGTGAGGCTTGTAGGCTCAAAGCAGGTGGCTGCGTCAATCCGCCAATTCACTGATATAGATGATTCCACGCAAAGACCTGTGTCTGGTTTTCTCCACAAGAGACACCAACTAGTGAGAAAAGAGAAACTAGAACCCAGGACAGATAGGTTTTGACAGTGACTTGTTATGCATAAAAGTGAGCTTTAAAACACCTTAAAAAGAGGGAAAAGCCTGGGGAGGACAGGCCTGGAAGATAGGGTCCAATGGGCTTGCTGTCCTGGGACCAATTTACGATCACTGGATTTCAGAACAGAGGATGAGGTAGGGGGACCTAGAGAAGCCACCCTCCATGGCTCTTGGTTTCTCTTCCTTAAACTGTGGGGATTTGGATTACATAAGATCCAGACTTCATTCAACTCTGGCACTCTTGGATCCTAAGCATCTGAGAAAATCAGGATTGTGAGTGCCCTTGGCTTTCCTTCCCTGGGCATGGATGGAATATACTGTCCTAGAAATCCGGAAGGCTGGCTGCTCAAGACGGGGAACCCCCAACTCCTTTTTTCACTCTGGGTCAGTCCTTGAAGTGATGCTAGCAGAGGAAAGATGAGTGAGCCCTTCAAAGGGCCTTGCCTGAGTGTCATTCTCAGTTTCTTAGCCGGAGGGGAAATTTTCCCTCTTTCTTAAGCTATTTCTCTCGTAACCCTAAATCAAATAACCTGGTATTGATTGCTATTTCCAAACTTAGGTCTGTGGATTCATCATATAATCTAAAACTTGGTTTATTGGTCAGTCAGGCTATTCCTTAATTTATTAATTACTTTGATTGATTTTTCAATGATGAACCAGCCTTGCGTTCTGGGGATAAACCTCACTTGGTTGTGATGCATTATCCTTTTTATATATTGCTGGATTTTATCTGCTAATATTTTGTCGAGGATTTTTACTCTATATTCATGAGGGGCATTGATTTGCTGTTTTCTTTTTAAATGTCTTTGGTCTTGCTATTAGGATAATGCTGACCTTGTAAGATAAATTGGGAAAGAGTTCCCTTCTTTTCTGTATTTCAGAAGCAACTGTGAAGAATTGGTATTATTTCTTCCTGAAATGTTTGGTGGAATTCACAAGTGAAACCATTTGCATGTGGAGTTTTCTATGTTGGAAGTTTTTATTTTTTTTAATTAGAAATAAAAAATTTTTTATAGCCATAGGACGATTCAGGTTACCAATTTTTTTTCTCAAGTGAGTTTTGGGGGTTTATACATATCAAGGACATGGTTCCTTTCACCAATCCCAAGCTCCAGACTTGGATATCCAGTTTCTCGCTGGGTATCACCACTTGCATATTCCACACCTCAACATTTCCAAAGTTGACCTTCCCCCCTTCCTCCCTAGGGTTCCTCTGCTCACAGAATGGCACGACCATTTCCTTATCTGCCCAAGTCTAAAACCCGGGGTTCATTTTCTCTCTTTTCTTTACTTCCCATGACCATTAAGTCTTCACGTCTCTTGCTTCTTTCCACATTCCTTCCCACTGGCCACCATAACACTCTGATCTCCTTAGATGTGGGGATGCTGTCTCTAATTTTGTCTCTTCTCCCTAGTGCCTAGGATGTAACAGTTTCTCAGTAACTATTGAGAATGCATATTCTCAACATAATGTATGCATATTTGTTAGCTCATATTTTTCTTAGATGAATAAATTTATTTAGCCACATAACCAACCTCCAAGTATGAGAATACCATTACATCCATTCATCCAACAAATACTGGTTGAGTGCCTGGCACTGTCCTAGGCTCTGCAGATATGATGTAGAACACGTTAGACTAGATCTTTGCCCTCATGGAATTTATGTTCTAGTTGATAGAGACAGATAAAAACAAGCAAACAAATCAGAAAATTTCAGATAGTGATAAAAAACAGGGTACTAGGCTAGAGAGTGACTGGGAATGGAGAAGGTGGTTTGAGGTAGGGTGGTTAGGAAAAACCTTTTGGAGGGAGAGACCCATTTGAAAGGAGATGGCATGAAGCAAGGGAGCCAGCTATGCAGATGTGAGGTAAGAGCAGTCCAGTACAAAGGCCCTGGGGCAGAAAGTAAGCTGGAGCATAGTGATGCTGTGCTGGGAATCACGGTCCAGACCGAGGCCCTAATGATAGGGAGGGACCAGATCATGTGGGGGTCATAGGCATAGTATGAAGTCTGGATTTTATCTTAAGTGCAGTGAGGAACTACAGGGGTAGTCTAAGCAGAGGACTGGTTATGATAGCTTTACTGCCCAGTTTTCCTATCTTTCTTCTTCCAAAAATTTCAGTTGCTCCTAGAAATGTCTTCTTACTGGAAAATTTGCCCATTGCATGAACTTACTAGAAAAGTTGCCTATTGCATGAACTATCATCAGCTTTCTACTTTATTAATGTGAATAAAATTGACGTTGGGTGCCACCTTAGGGGATGGAGGAAGGGGAAGAAGGTCCTGGGTCCTCTACAACAAGAGCAATGTTGTTGCTTTACTCATTTTACAAGATGAGCTTCCCCTTCAGATTCCTTTGGGAGGGACAAGTGTTTTATTTATCCCTCTCTGCATATCCCGCTGTCCTCCAATTAGTAACTGTAGGACCAGGGAACTTCCTTCTGGCACACACTTCCTGTGTGTTCTCTACCTCCTAATGCAATTTGTTAATGAAGGTGAGGAAAGACAGAAGGATGTGGTTTCCTAATAGAGTTGGGAAAGTTTGCCTGAAAGGTCCCAGAGGATGAGCTGTGTGGTCATTTGCATATAATGAGGTGGCTACATATCCCGCAACACCTTTCAGGGAAGGTATCTGTTTGGCATTCCTTAGATGAGGCCATTTGCAACTGATAAAAATGTCCAGTTTGAGAGCACAGAAGGGCTTGGGTCAGAGAGCCAAACAAGCCTCCATCGTGGGCATCTGTGCTAACAGCTAACCTCCTCCTCATCTAATCTCTGTCTGAAAGGATCCACACTTGGCCTTCCACTGTACCCAGGCACCCATCCAGCCCTTGGCATGTGAAGTGCCCTGAGAGGGGGTTTCTTCCCCACTCGCCCCCCCAGCTCTTTCTGCTCCAGCCAAAACAGCTTTTGTTATGTGAATGTACCATCTGTGCACCCATCATAGAATTTTTACCTTCTCTCTGGAATGCTGCCAAACCTAGCTCTTGCCTGCACTCTCTTTGCTTAGTAAATTCCCACTCTTCTTTCAGATCTCAATTCAACCATCATTCCTTCAAGAGAGACTTTCTTGACCCCCTCAAGAAAGGGGGATCTGAGCCTGGGCAGGTTCCTTAGGTGTCCTCAAAGAATCAAATTCTTTTCCTTTCAACATTTGAACTCAATTTGTTTTGAACTTTATACTTGCCTACCCATGACTGTTTGATTAATGTCTACCTCCCCCTACTGGAATGAAACCTTCACGAAGGTAGGGACAATGTCTATTTTTGACCATATTTTATTCCCAATAGTGAGCACAGCATCTAATAGATAGCAAATGCCCAGTAAATATGTGCAATAAAAACGGAATGTCTGTAGCATGTCAGGGAACTGAGACTTAGGACAGCATCTCTCCTATTTTGGGATGTGGGCCCATCTTATGTGGGCCTGCACATTTCCCTTTATTACTAAGGAAAGTATTTTCTCTTCAGTTTTACTGATTACTCTGTGTAAATTATGTGAAGCATTTTTTTAAGATTTTATTTATTTATTTGACAGAGACTCAGAGAGAGAGGGAACACGAGCAGGGGGAGTGGGAGAGGGAGAAGCAGGCTTCCCGCCGAGCAGGGAGCCCGATATGGGGCTCAATCCCAGGACCCTGGGACCATGACCTGAGCCAAAGGCAGACGCTTAACGACTGAGCCACCTAGGTGCCCCTATGTGAAGCATTTTTTAGAAATGTTACATGTGGTGGGATTTTCAGGTGTTCTTAATTTTCTACCCCTCTTTTTCTCCCTGTTTTTTTTTCCTACTTTTTATATATTTACTGAATTTTCTATATTGAACATATATTACTTTAAAAAATTAATTTGAAAAAACTCTGAAAGTAATTTTTCAGCTTTAAAATATGGAGCTTTGGGGGTTTTGAGCTGGCATTAGAGGGAAGGAAATGAAATCCTAGCATGCCACATGGTCTAGCAAGGAATAATATCTGCATAGATTTGACAACATAAATAGTATATGTTTTTGCTTTGTTTTGTTTTCTTTAAGCTACATTGAAGGACAAGTTACAGATGCAGAAGAAAATACAAATGTTACAAAAATACAGCTTTGACCATAGAAAAGTAAAAGTGTAGCTGATGCGAGGTAAGAGTTTGTGGAAGTGTTAGAAGTGGAAGTTGGGGGTGTTAATTTCCTCATTTTGCACAGAAAGGAGTCAAGATACTAAATAATGTTACAAAAAGAAGCAGTGGTGGTCTAAGTATATTATCTCTGATTACAAGAGAAGCAACAGAGGTAATAAGTAACATAATCAAAGAGAAAGTGAGGGGAGAGATGTAAATGAGCTAAAATCTCATCTTTCCAACTAGGGAGTCAATAAGTCGTGTGTAGAGCTGCCAATTAAGAAATAGAAGCTATCCTCCTATTACTAGGCATCATGGAGAGAACAACGAGAAGAACTA